TAGAATCCATTTTCATTATGTGAATTTGAACTCTCATGGTCCCGAAACTAATCTTATTGACCATGTTACCTGTTGTGCATGATTAAATTTTAAAGGGATAATAACTCTTCGTTTCGGCCAAAAAATGAATTTTCCTGGAGTAAACAACAATTTCCCTATACTTACCAATGATTAATGAACCCATTTTTACAATCAAAGTCAGTCCCTGTTTTTTTCTAAAAAGTTTGGTTTTTTGTTAAAATCTCATAAGAGATTTTAACACAGTATAGCCATCAGTGGAGGTCATGGGGTCTAAAGACAAGCTCAGATATCAAAATAATAGCTATAACTCCCGTTTTTGTGGTAAAACAGAATATATTATATTTCTATGGGTTTTCACAATGTTTTTTTTTTTTTTTTTTTTTTTTTTTTTTTTTTTTTTGTGAAATATAGATCCCATACAAAGAGTTATTATCCCTTTATGTGTTGATTGACTGTGCTGTTATAACTATTATTTATTATTGCAACGATATTGACAAAATGACCTATTTTCTGCATCTTTATTTTCTGGTTTTTGTCTTTACATTTGGCAGCTTGCTACCTTTGTCTTGATTGTTGATATTGAAAATTTGAATACATTTACTTGCCATATAATACCAAGAACTAAAAAAAGTAATTGTTGACATTTCAAACGTTAAGCATCTGAAAGATCAATGTTATCTTGATTGTTAATATTTCATACCTGAAACAACTGATAATCAATGTGCCACTTGAGAAAAGACCAGTCATGCCTCAAAGGATGATGGGGATTTTTTTGTTTATGAAAGTTGAAGAAAAAAACCCCTCATGCATTAAAAGGTGAGGGAGGGGGTTGTTTACAAGTAAAGGGGGTTGTTTACAAGCAAAGTAAAGGCCTGTATTAATACCCATCAGGTTCAACAATAAGCTAGGCCAATCTTGACTGCCATGGTGCTCGGCATATGAGTCTTAAGAATTTTCAAAGCCCCTCTGTCCCAGGTGGATGTCGTCAGCAATGTAGTTACCCATTATGTTTGCTTATTGAAAAGAAAAACAATGTAACCGATAGTTTAGCAAAGTTCACCTGTAGAAAGAGAGACAAATTCAAGGTGAGTAAAATTCCATTGTTCATAGTGAGCTGTTGTTGACAGCAACATCTGCTTGACAACAGGTTGTTATACACCAAATACAGGGGCCTGCAGTAAAGCTGAACATTGGAAGAGCAAATAAATAGCAAATAAATATACATGTAGCAGCACATTCCCTTTTCCCAGATTGAAAGTATTGTTTGTTCAACCCCCCCTTCCCCCACACCTATTCGCTACAGCATGTCTACAGAAGGTGATGAAGGTAAAATTATTAAATGAATTGCCAAACTAATTTATTTGAGACGCAGAAATACTGCTCAGAGTCACCATCCAAATCAATTTAAAGAATGAATATCACAGAGATATATGGTCGTGGGGGTTAGTGGATACTGCAACAATGACGAAATTTCTTAATGAATACAGTGGCACCATGTATAGTATTACTTTTTTGGGACAATAAAAGGAATAATATAAATTGTACCTACAGTATGGGTTCAGACTGACAATGGCATCAGTTTGTCTCACTGTTCATTAAAAATAAAGTTATTATAATAGTTTATTAGGTAAAATTGCAACTCTAAGGTTGAAATTATACAAAGCATGTTTAACAGAAAATTGACAATAAACTTTAAATAATAAACCAATAAATTATACCTAAAACACTACAAATAAATAAGGTTATGATAATTAAAGGGATTTTTAAAACGTCCTGTCTTCACTTTTGGTTGTATAAGTTTGGTGTTTCTTTCGAGCAATGGCCCAATTTTTCACAATTTTGTAGTTTTGTAAAAAAAATCTCAGATACAGCAAATGTCAACGTTTGTCCAGAGTGTCGATGTTACAAACTTTAGGGCATCATCATAACTAAGACCAGGGCAAAGAACCTCAAGGCTCTCTTTTGAACTTATTCTAGACATTCATATTGCTCAGCCGTCAGACCTGGTCCCCACACTGGACACGCATATTCTAAAACTGATCTTATTACAGACTGGTAGATAGTAAATAAATCTTGCACGTCCAGTTTTGCCCTACTTTTTCTGACCTTTTCTACACATATACCATCTATTTCCAATTTTAGTATTGTAAGATTACAGTTCTTGGTAAAATTTATGCCCATTACCTTGGACTTCCTTACATTAAGATTCATCTTGTTTTGCTTGACCCAGTCAGCCAATTGGTCTGTTGCTTGTGGTAGATGTCGTGTTTCGCCGAATTTGCAAATTTCATAAAAGTCATAAATGAACGAGAAAAAAATTAATCAAAATATTAAGATAAAATATGATACAGTAGTAACATTACTAGCTGATATATGCAATCCATTTTGTTTATTATTAAACTTGTATTACAACAAAAGATTCTTGCTCTTCTGAATCAAAAATAATCTTTTAGATACACAACATGTTCCTAACAATGTGTTCAAATTTTGAATACTTTTTTTTTTTTTTAAATTTCCAGAATATACCAATAATACACTAAATAATAACTAGGATAATTAACTAAACCTCTCACTCCCATACACGCACACATGCCTCTCACATTTGGAGCAACTACATAGTATTATCATTGTGACTTTGTCACTTCTATCAAGGTATAAAAAATAAAAATGTAGTATACTATCACTTTTTACAACCACTATTTACAGAAAGGTAGACAATAGGCTAACAAGTCTAAGATACAAGGCTTTTTTTGGGCCGTAATAAAATAAATATATGGATATATAAAAATACTAGTGTGAAGAAAAAAGAAACAAAGTGTCGACTTAATATAAATTACATATACATTTATAATGGACAGAATGGGAAACCCCACATGTTCTAATTTTCGAAAATTAGCTTCACGTTCTCCCATTTCTCTGTAATTTCTAATCTTTTTTTCTCAGTCCGTAAATAATTGGAATACATGTCTATATCTCTATATGATTTTATAAATGTTTTTGTGCTTTTCCAGTTTGGGATTTCCAATTTTGTCCTACAAAGAGTAATATATTTTTTAATTAAAAGGATGACAAGATATATACCGGGCAATTGCTTATTCAGAGTACCCAGTACAAAATATTCTAGTTTTCTTTCTATCGTGAGTCCGCAATGCTTTTTCAAACTTCTGATCAAACATGTCCAAATATTTTGCACATGGACACAGTCCCAAAATAAGTGTTTCAGTGTTTCTTTTGACAAATGACAAAAGGTACATTCTGCTGACTCCCTTCGTTTGCTTTTGTATAGAAAAGAATTTGTACAAAAAATCTTGTGGTTAATTTTAAACTGGAGGGCTTGTAGTCGAGTATCGTCGGTTTGTTCAAACGGTGCCCCAAAAATCGCCCCCCATATATCATCGTCGCCATGGTAATGCAAGGTGGACTCCCAGCGATTCTGATATCTGGGGCACGTCTTTTTAAGGAACAATTTATAAAATACCTGTGATACTTTTTCATTCATCTGAATCAGTGAAATGTTTTCGTTTCTAGCTTCTGTTATGTTATGACCATATGCCTTAATTAGTTTTCTCCAATTTTGTGGTAC